ATCGTGAAGCATCTGGAACGCAACTAAAGCTAAGTTCATCACAATTATTTGTTTAAGAGGAAGAGAAGTGCATGAACGCGGCCTCAATCAGGCGACATTTAAAAGATACATCCAATCCTCTAGAGCTACCGCGTGCACTGTAAACAAAATTAATGCTTTCGAGGTTTTTCTTTTATTATCGTTTTGTGTTCATTTTCAACGCATATTGAGGACTTCCAAAAGGAGCTTTAATATAATTGGTTAATAAACAGATGAACCTCTTCGTTCAACTGTTTTTGTTATTTTTTGGCCTTTATAACAATTATATTCAACAATTTATATTGAGCTCGAGGCCGTTTTAAATGAAAATTTTTATTGTGGAAAAGCAACAATAATTTGAAAAAAAAAACTTCAATACCTCCGTCATAAAAGCTTGCGCACCTTTTCGCACAGAGGGAAGTGCACAGCAATGACTTCAATTTGGAAAACTTGGTGTGTCGGTAGTTTTAAAAGAGTTGCTTCAGTTGATAAAGGAAAAAATATGCAATCTGTGTACGCTTTTCTTCGCCAAAGGGCGTACTGCAAGGGAACTAAAATTTCAAGTTATTGTTTTGTCATTTTCAAAATATTCTGTAAAAGCAAACTGCATTGCAAAATGTTAATATCGTTCAAATTATTAAGAAGTAAAATATATGACACCCTTCAATTTTCGCTTCTAAATACGCTCCAAAAACATTCCCAGCAACCACAAAAATGTAGTCGCCTGTATACACACTTTGTAGCAACTGCAGTTGTCAGTTGAAAGTTGCCAGTTGCCATGCGTAATATCGTTTTGGCAACTAGCAACGCAACTGAAGTTCGATTGCTATCGATAATCGTCCCATTAAGCCCTCCTTCTTCTAATGTAATGACTTAATTTATTTAAAAACGGAAATACTCGGGTTCTTAGAAATTTGTTTAGGAACGTGGGTGCAGAATTAGATATACTTACCAAATATCTTATCTGCTCTGCTGTTCCACTGCTAGTAGCATTTGTTATTGCCCAGGCTGCTTCCTTTTTAGTTTTGAAATCGGCATTTTGCATTATGCTTATAAGTACAGGGAAAATATTGGCGTCAATCACAGCCTGAATTTGTTGTCTATTACCCGCTGCAACGTTAGAAATAGTCCAGCACGATTCTTTTTTAATGGTTTCAAATTGCGAACTCAATAAAATATTTATACATGACAAAGCATTGCAGTTCAAAATCACTTGCGTTTGAACATCATCTCCCGTTACGATGTTACCAACTGCTCGAAGCGCCGCTGTAACTACGTTGTTCTGTGGATGCCTAGTAAATTAAAATACATGAACATATTTTATTTTATAAACATTAAACATTTACATCAAAAGCTCCACAAGGCGTCGGCACACTCCCGCATCTATAACAGCTTGTACCTTATCATTTGGCCCATCGGACAAATAGCTGATAGCCCAGCATGAATCACTTAGTATATCGGGATCTGTATGGTTTAAAAGTCGTGCTAGGATGGGTAGACCATTTACAATTTTCGAAAAGTCTGCAGGGGGATTTTTACCGCGACACAAATTCGAAAGAGTCCAAACAGCATTCCTTATCAGAGTCAGTCGATTAGTGGTACTCAGTACACTATGTAAATATAAAGAGTAGATATTTTATATGCATTCAAAACAAATTAATAGTCAAGAAACCATTTACGATTTTTCTTTCGAAATAGTTAATCAAAATTTGAATTTAAATTATTAAGGCAGTGACACACGATTGGCCATTTGCCCAAAAATTGGTGAATATCGTATCCCAATTGTGTGAATGAACAAATAATTTTCTTTATCCCAATCACAAAAAACAATTTGTTCAAATTTTTCAATAGAAGTTCGTGTTATTGTACCAATCATGTGACTACAAACAAATTGTTCGTCCCAATTTTTTTATTTTGTACCAATAGCCCAATATCAAAAATATACAAATCTGTACAAATTTATCAATTAAAGGCAGTGTTTAAAGTACTTGAAAACAAGAATGTTACGTAAGCTGTTTCTTGGATATGACATTTTTCCACTCCCTCGGTAAGCGTGGGGGCCATCTGGTTGGCGGTAGATTAGGCGTTTACTACGTAGTAGTGCGTTCGAATATTCGCCTGTTTTCCAAAACCGGCTTTCGAGTTATTCGAAAAACTGCAATTTGGAAAAAACCGGTTCCCGTTTTTGAAATTGAGAAAACGCAGGTATACCGATTTCATTTCACATAATAATAATAATAATAATAGATTGGCGCGTACACATATGTTAGTGTTTNGCGCAGGTATACCGATTTCATTTCACATAATAATAATAATAGATTGGCGCGTACACATATGTTAGTGTTTGGCCGAGCTTCTCCTCCGATTTGTGGCGTGCGCCTTGATGTTGTCACACAAAGCGGAGGGACCTACAGTTTTCGCCGACTCCGAACGGCGATTGTATTTTTATGAGAAGCTGTTTTTCATGGCAGAAATACACTCGGAGGTTTGCCATTGCCTGCCGAGGGACGACCGCTGTTAAGAAAAAACCTTTTTTCTATATTTTTGCGATGTTGCTTTGACCAGGGTTTGAACCCAGGCATTGTGGAGTGGAAGCGCGCACTGCTTACCACTACACCACAGCGGCCGACATTCATTTCACATAGTTTTCATATAATAAAGATGCTTATGTTGGTATGAAGTCATAACCAAAAATTTCAATAAAGCTATTAACAGTAAAGATAGCTTTTATTTACAAAAGAGCAACGCAAAAAAAGTAAAACGAATAAAAAATAGTGAAAAATTCGCGTTTGGTCTATTATAACTTTTTTTAATACTTTATTGCGTTTTTCTGACTTTTTTCGGATTTGTGTAGTGCTCTTACCACCGTAGCCGAGTGCTTAGATGGGCCAGCTCCAGTGATCTGCTCCGAGGAACACTTCCGAGTTACTAGTCAACACGTTGCAAAGCAACTCATAGAACTCCAATAAGGCAATATAAGCGAAGTAATTATATGTTATGTACCAAGCTGTTCATTAGGGAAACTTGTATAAATATACGCAACCATGATTCGGTTCGAAAGAAATGTAAATAATATAAAATGAGTGGAAGATTAAGTAGAAACGTACGTTTGACTCGTTCGATGTCTCTTTTCGTTTCGATCAACTCGTTTCAAACAGAGAACAGAATGAATATACTAATTTCCATGTAGGCTTTGAAAACTCAATGCCGTTCACTCAAAAAAGCCAGTGGGAAACATGATAAAAATATGATACAAAAAAGAAGGTAGTTCCAGTAAACAACTTTTTGATTAAAAAGGAGATTTTTGACAATTGCTCAATTGTAAAAAATTCGAAGCGGCGTTACCCAATTTAAGTTTTTTGTTAGAGGGGATTTTANCGATTGTTATTGAAAATAAATATTTCTATGTATATACCAAACTCGCGTACGTCAGATGGCGCATAACTCGAGAATGGATGGTCCACTTTCAGCTTTTTTTTTGTTGTATTTGTTTGACAGATGATGGATATGAAGAAGCTATTTGTTTGTGGAAAATATGCAGTATTTATTAAACAAAAAAAAAACGGCAAATAAAAAAATTTGGAGCTTACGTTTCCTTCGCGGATATGGCTCGATTGTTTCGAATATGGTAATTCGAATTCTTTGATGTCGCACTTTTAATATTCTGGGGAGACTATACAACTGTCAGAATATTAACCATTCGCCGGGTTGCCCGAAAAAAAAATTTGAATGATTAAAAATATCAAAATATAAAAAAAATATAAAAATATTCGCCATAAAAAGGCGTTTGCATTGTTCAACTTTGCATTCTACTTTCAAGTAATCGCTTTCAACAAAGTTGGTCGCCCGCCAGCCAACATTCGCCTCGTGCGTAAACCTTTTAAGTGTGCAATTACATACATCGCGCCATTGACTAAACCGAGCTGTCGTGTGACGATTGGGCCTATGGATGCGGTTTGGCAATATTATATTGCGTCAAAGCCTCATTCGGAGACACCAGGAGTGTGTTGTGGAGGACAATACCTAAATACCTTCGTTGGCTCATTTACCAAAACCATTGCATGCTTTACTTTACAGCGACTTGGCAGAATCAAGAGGTCTCCACGAATATCGACAAATATATTTCGGCATTTAAGAGAATTTCGTCTCTTTAGCCTACATTGAATTTCTGTAGTCCAACGATGCTCACACATTTTGTCTTGTTGGCGCCAGCGAATGAAGAACAAACATTTCTTNATTTCCTTAGGGCGAGATCTTGTGTCTTTCGTTCATGGTCATAAGCACCATGGGGTATGTTCAGTGTGTTATTGTTTGCAGAGTGTTTAGCGTTGCTGTATTAATGCAAAATAAATAAGGAACAAATTAACTTGTTTCAAAAGTTAAATGCAAATTATTCTGGGCCATAAGGATAAACTTTACTACGCATTACTTTTATGTACCCACCAACAACGATAAGATGAAAATATTAAAAAGATTAATATAAACCTAAGACATTTTTAAGTGTATATCGATGGCTGAGTGGAAGATCGACCTATCTCGGCAGCCAGTTCGAAAACGCTCTATCTCAAAAAACTTTTCAAGAACGCCCTATTTCAGATCTCGTTTCAACTCGTTAAGATTTTTCTGATAAATACTTAGATATCCAATAAATAATCATTAAAACGTGCATATATGTACATATGGCAACTCCACATTTGCAGTTGGCTCCGACGGAAACGGATATCACTTGACACTTTATACCGCTGACTTAAGAGGAAAGGAAAATGAAATGTATAATTGTATTACCTACTAGTGAAACTGTGTTCGCTTTTACAGCATACGAAAAAAAAGCGAAAAAGAACAGTTATCAAGGTAAAAGGATGCTTTCAACGGCAATTTTTTAAGGAAGATATTAAAAATTTGTGACAACTTGACCTACTTTCCGCTCAACATCGCACACGATATATACATACCTATATGTTTACCTATATGAATTTGTATGTATTTATGTCTGTTCGCCGCACACAAGACGCCAAGAAATCAAAATCAAGTTCAATGCACCGATACAGGCCGTAATTAACTATGCGAATCTTGTACAACTGCACCGGCCTCAACACGCCGCATTTCAGGTAAGCCAACTCGAATGTGAAAATGTAAGATGTAAGACGCAAATATTTAGTTACGGTGGTACCGGTGTCAAACCGGCTTTGTGGACACACATTCTCAGCAGCCGCCACTTGCACCACTTTTTCCTTGTATGCACATAGCTCAATTTAATCACTTAACTGTGCCCATTTCGCGTGTAAGCTTTTGTGTATTCATATGCACATACGTATGTATGCACATATGTATATGCATATACGGGACAGCGGAACTAATGGATAGCCATAGACTTACACTCGAATTTATACTTGTTTTCTTTTTTTTTGTGTGCATACATACAACTTATTTGATTTTTATCAGTTGAATGCAGCTCACTTTAGTTCACTACACAAGACGCCTTTGATTACGCTCAAATCTGGTAATTGGGTCCATTGTCAAGGTGAGTGCGTCACGTTTAATGTCAGCTACAATCAATTGGTAGCGGTTGCAACTATTCGCTATGTCGCAATTCACGTTTGCCATTGCTGTGTAGAGTTTAAATAGCTACAGAAATTACATCAATTAAATGAATTCGCTGATGAAGGCGTTTAAATTTATTGCCACTCTTCATTTCTGAAACTAAAAGGAGTGAAGGCTGCTTCTCGCTAAAGGAAATTGTGGTTGGGGTTTTCTAAGAGTTGCATTAGTACGACAATATGTATCACGTTTAACCAGTTCGAATTGATTTACAATTAGAGATGGCTTAATACGAAATAGGTACATAAGTACATACATACTTATGACCGCACAAAACTGCGTGAAAACAATGCGGAAATAAAGCTAATATGGGCGTTATTGAATGTTGTATGCGCTCTTTTAAACATATTAGGGGTATTCTCTGAGTCTTGCAAATCCCCTGAACGGTGCACAAATTGCACAGATTGCACGGTAAAAACCGGTTTTCGTATGGGACAGCTTTGCGAACCGTGCAATCCGTGCAACGTGCAAGGGCTTTGCAAGACTCAGAGGATACTCCTTTTACTACCAAGGCATAACCTAGTGTAATAAGGAAAGTGAAATCAATATATGACATTTTTGTCATTGCGTTAACCCATTTGAAACTAGCAACATTATAAATTAATTTCAAAATAAAAAAATTTGATTTCAAATCAAAAAATAACTGTTTTAGAAATAAAAGGACAAAAAGAAAAAAAAAAAATCGTTTAAAATGCCAGATACTTGCTGTTTATGCAGAAGCACCCACAACAATGAGGTAAGTATGTTTCGTGTGCCAACAGATATTACGCAAAGAAGGGAGCGGATAAATGCGTGTGGTGTTAAACTAACTGGATCATCGAAAGTTTGCGCTCTGCACTTCAAATCGAATGAAATCATTTATGCAAGTATTAATGTCAAGAGAAGACAAAACGCCTCGATCCAGATGCAGTACCATCAAAGATGTTACCTGCTATTTCATCAGATGACAGGTAATGATCAAAGTGTAGGTATGTTCTCAAATGCATTAGTGCAAAGGCATATCGTGAAAATAACGTCCAATAACTACCACCGCAGTCAAACAGATGTGAAGTATCGCAAAAAATGTATACTTTCGCCAACTTAGGCCCCTATTGCGAGTGTCGACTGGCAGTAGAATAGAAATTTGTCGATCGAGTCGATCATCTTTTATTTTGCTATTGTGTAACTTGATCGATAAAAATTTGTAC